GAAACCTTTCACAAAATGAAAATAGGTCCAAGCCCGACTCGAACGGGCGTCGCCTGCATGCGACTGTCCTGTTCATGCACGCGATGCAGGTGCGGCCGCTCCGTATTGAGACCTTGCTAGTGCGACAATGGACCTGGCTAGATCAGTAGACCTTGGACAGTAATTGAACACTGACGCACATACGGACTGCTGTCTTAGATTCGGCGTTGATCGAACAATTATTCCTGCAACCACTTGAGAAACATCCAACCTCAAACAACGTTGAAGAGAGCAGGGGATAAGCCGAATTCAGGGAGGCGAAGGTAAGGGCTGCAGAAGGGAACAAAAATATATTTGCAACTGTGAACGGTCCAAGCCCGAATCGAACGAGCGTCGCTTGCGTGTATTGTACTACAAGTGGACGGGCCCCTCCGCAATTGGACCGGGATACTGAAGGGATGAGGCACCTAAAGGAAGAGAAGGTAGCCTACGCACATATGCATTGGATCGGGATGACACAGAAAATCACCGCCAATCCGAGTCAGGGGTCGATCGATCGACGTACGCAGGCAGAACTCGTGCGCGAACGAAAAATGTCCCAGCCGGAAGCGGAAATGAAATACGCAAGGGGTGGTAGCATTATGTACAACATGAAGAGGGTTTAAAACAACAGAGGCGCTAAGAGAGAAATCGAGAATCTAAATTCAAACAGCGTCCGGTGAATTAAACATTGACAGGAGGCGACGCCGCCGCGATGGTGACGGTTCCCCAAATTGCAGGGTAGACCGCTTCTGCCACGACGACCGGCCAAGCAGAGTCATCAAACCCAGGCTGCTGCCATCCGGTCGGGATCGCGCCTGTGGTGGACACCCAACTGGCGTCCGAAAGCACCCACGCACCAGCGGTGCAGTTTGCCCGCCCAGTCGGCACCATGTTTATCTCGGCAGCAACCAGAATCCCCGCCCTCCCCGTCGCCGAGTTCGTGCCAAGCACAGCAAACACTATCTCGGATGGCGCAGAGATGAAGTTGACTTTGTACTGTCGCGCCGTTTGCCAGGTACCGGCCACATCACTGCCGACCTGCACACCATTGACCCATATGGTGAAAGCATCGTCAGCAGCGATGATGATTGTCGCGGACATGGGGATCTGGCCCACCGCCGGGGTGAAGGTGCGGCGGAAGGCACGCGAGCTCGCGGGGACATTCGTAGTTCCGCTCGTTGAGATGTCCGTCCACACCCATGAAGGATTGAAGTCAAAAGACATAACGGGTGGGTTGGAGGCGACGTCTAGGGCACCATACACTGCGGGGTACAAAGCTTTGACGGTCGCCGTGGGCCAAGCAGCGTCGTCGAAGGACAATTGCTCGAACCCAACAACCCATGGGTGGACGCGCCAGGAGCTATCGGTGACGATAATGTCTGTGGTGAAGTCGTTGTATGTGACACGAATGGACGCGATCACTGCCCCGTGGGCGACAGACGGGCTCGTGCTATTCGCCGCGAACACGTTGAAACTGGGCAGCAGGTCGACGCAGTACCGGCCGGCATATTGCCATGGGTTGGGATAGGCATTGGCTCCAATGAGTTCCCCGTTTACATAGAAGTCCACCTCCCCGCTTGTCATGACGATCTCTGCAGCGATGAGGGACTTTCCCAAAGGAGGGACGAAATCCTTGCGGACGGCAATCCACGCGTTTGCAATGTAGGTCGAATTCCAGATCCAGTTGGCTCCCGTAAAGTCCAGCGGAGAAGTGGCACGGGTCGTCAGACTAGTGTCGACCACATCCTTTTCTGAGAAACAGAAAGAGGTGAGTTGAAGGGTCATGTGAGACATCCAAAACGCACCGAAAACAGCGGCAGACAAGGACAGCGTAGCGGTGAGCAAGACACATAGTGCGTAGAGAGCTAAATAAAATGGTCAGCTGGTCATTCTGACAGAAGGAAGAAAGCGATGTTCACAAAGAAGGGCCATTGCGATGGTTGCAGCGAGCGAAGTTCGAGCGACGCAATTTTATAGCAAAATGAGGTCCAGGCTGTCCGTCACAATTACAAACATCCTTGGACATCAGAATCCAACCGCAAGATAGGCGGTGTCGAAACGCCCCATCGGAGGAATTGAAGCGCGCTCGTTTGGTCGCTTCACACAGGTGGAATGTTGTCACATTTCCAAAAGAGCGAGCAAGGAACGTGATATTCGATCCGTTTGAATTGGCCCACAAGTTATTCTGGGTTTGCATCCGGACTTCTGTAAGGCCGGTGACGTCCGGCGCATACCTGAAGTCACTTTCACCATTCCAGCCGCCTTCGGCAAGAACGTGCGCGTCGTGCCATCCATCCATCATTCCACCCTTATTTATCCTATGGCTGTGCGAAGACCTCGGGATGGAGGAGCTGTTAATATATAGTTCATCGCAAATCTAGAGTGGGCTGAGCAAGTCAAAGGCCCGAATAGACATTCTGCATGGAAATATCAAGGCACATAGAATCGTAGTTTGTGGAGGAGGTCGATCAATTGCAATCGATTGATTGATTGATTGATATTTCAAAGGGTTACTGTACGTGGTCAGGTCGACTATGACAGCAGTTCGGTATATGGGTATGTAAGGGTATCTGAGTGATTTGGCTGAATAAGTGAGTGTAAAGAGAAGTAGAGATATAGAGTAAAATCAATTGCAATCGTCGAGCCATGTTGTTGCATTTCCAAAAGAATGAGCAAGAACCTAAGTATTCACTGCTTCCCGGGGCCCGTCGGCACAGGGTCTGCCGAGGCGCCGTCGGCCGCCGTCGGTAGACCTGGAAGTCGACATGCTCCGCCGACGTCTGTTCAGAAGCCTGCACTCAGGCTCAAATATCGATTGAATTTTACCCTGGTAAGCACCTTGCAAGCAAATTGCAAAAGGCATCTATTTTATTGAGAAATTGGATGGATGCAGGAGCACAGAGACGGTGAAGCTGGCGGCGAGCGGCCGACGAGGAGCCGTGAGACGGTCTCGGCAAGGTCAGCTATTTATGGAGGGTCTCGACTGGGCATCTATATAAGAATCCAATGTCGTTTGACTGGCTGCTGGGCCATCAGTGTCAGATAAATCGCCCCACGCCATGTCATACGCTCCGCTGCACCAACGGAATGTTCAATTCTCCACCCAACTGCGGGATTGCTATTTTATATACTGCTGAGAGGTTGAACACTTCCCTCTCCGACAGTCTGGGACCCCTCGCGATTGCACCAAGCCACTGATCGACAGGACTATGATGAGTTGAATGCAGAAAGCATCTGGATGAAGGCGGGGTTTCAATGTATGAGCATCATTTGCAGACAGATGAGGGCTGGAGGACTGTAAGATGAAGGCGGTGATACATGGGGATTGAAGTCATATTTGCAGGATGAAGGCTGCATCACCGCTGGCTGTCATCGGCGTCCGCCAGAAAAAATGAGCTAGGCTGTTTTGATGGGGGCCATGTGAAGATGAAAATTGGTGAAGATGAAGACAACCACAATAACATTGCCTAATCATTTGCAGAATGAATTTGATGGGCGGGCAGCCCAAGATGTCTTGAGATCTCGAATTGGCTGGACCAATGAACATAGGTTGAACAGATGAAGTCACAATTTCTGGGGAAAAGATGAAATATGTCGAAGACCATAATACATGTTCCAAGGTGGGATCCACCGGTCGCCGCCAGATGAAGGTGAATTCACGGCATGTGGAACAAAAAGTGTAATCTGAACTTGGAAGACAGCGAAGCTCCTGAGGCGGCTGATAGAGCAAGTCCTGAACAGAATTTGAAAATTGAAAATGAAAACATTGCAAAGAATAATATCATGGTCCAAGCCCGAATCGAACGGGCATCGCCTGCAGGTATATCTTCACTTGTTTCAACCCAAGGTGATGCAGGTGCGGGCCTCTCCCGCAATTGGGCCGGAATACTGTGCAGGAGAAGCTCAATAGATGAGCAAATTCAAAGCCGGAAGAGAAGGTAGCCAACGCACATATGTCGATCTTAGGTCTATCCGGCGCAGATGCGGGCCACTCCGCAATTAGACCTTGACACTGTTATGAGGAATTATGAATGATGTGTAAATTCATACGGATTGCAGTATGAGGCACATGGTGCAGGTAAGGTTTACCCCGCAACTGGACCTGAATAATGGGCCGGAGATCTCGGAGGGGAGGCTTCAGTTCAGACGACGACGACCCTGAATGGACGGAATTTGTAGCGATCGACATGTAGGGACGAGGCGCTGACTGAGTATGCGTATATCCATGAAGTGTGAAACAAAAAGTCACCGACACCCAGACACGGTCCAAGCCCGAGTCGAACGGGCGTATCCTGCACGTGCAATCAACTCGCACAACCATGCATGTAATGCAGGTGCGGACCTCTCCGCAATTGGACCTGGATACTACGGACTGGAAGCTGAATAGCTGGGTTGATATTAATGATGCGGAGGGAGTACCGGACGCAGAAGGCCTTGAGGAGAGCCTGAGTGAACGGACAAATGTGAACATGAGCACGCATATGTGGATTGGTCTCATTACCTTCATCGAATGCTATATGATGGTAATTTCCCTAGGGTGAGGCATTCGCGGGAATAAGTGTGCGAATATCATGGAACCTGGGTCGATAGGTCGATCTCCTGATGCGGCGACGGGCGGACACACCGGTGGATAGATCTGGATTTCATTGTAAATGAGCCGTCGACGGGGAAAATGTGCGGCAAAAAAAATCCGAGCGCCAGTCGATCGCGGCGGGCACGGAAAATATGCATACAGTGGGAACACCTGTTTCAATACCAGCAGCGCCCCAGGCCGAGTCGAACAGCATCTGTATAGCAGGATGGATGTGGGCGCCACTCCGCGATCACACCATGCATACCTCCAATCCCCTTCTTCCTCGGTGGTACTCGCGGGTGGTCGACGAGAGCTTCGGCACTGCGCCGACTGAGTTGGAGTAGAAATTGGCGCCGAAAATACAAAGAGAAGCGAAAAAGAGAAAGATTCCAGGGGCAATGGAAAATACCGTCGAGGGGAATCGAACCCTTGGCTTCCTCGGATATCGAAACACATGAGATTTTTGAAATTGCGAGGATGACCTTCCACTGGTCGACGACGGCTTGCTACCCTATCAACACTGTGAGTGAAGTTGGAGTTGGCGGGGCGCGGCAGGGGGATGTGCGAGGTAGACGGTCGGCGGGAGGAAAGCAGAGAGAGAGAAGACCCGGCGCGCCGTGCATGCACGGCGGCGCAGGACGCAGGGGAGAGCGCACGGAGACCCGAGAGGCAAGGCGTGGGGCAAGATAGTCTGCGGCGCAAAGCAGCATGCACGGCGGGCGGAGGGGGAGCCACGGCGAGCGCATTCCTCAGTAACCACGCGCAGGAAGCGGGCGCGTAGCGAGGGCGCGGCGATACAGGAGTCACGGTGCGGGCGAGATTCTATGCGGCGCCCATGCGGAGCTATAGCGATCGCGGCAGGCATACACACCGCGTCGGCATGCGCAGAGGGGAGCCGCGACAGATGATCGCGTGAGCAAGAATGGAGCGCAGGGAGGGCAAGAAGGCGGATGGTGCACAGGGGCTGAGACGCAGCCGTGCGCATGAACCCCGTTCCTGGCACGCTGGCTGGTGGGGTTGGCACACGATGGAATACAGAGGGAGTGATGCACTCACGAATGAGCATCCAGCATACAGCATACAACAACCCATCGACCGCGATGAGGGAGGTGGGGCGTACGGGCGAGCGTCAGCGTTCATCTCCGTGCATCCTCAACAAGTGGTAGCGCTCGACGCGCTCCTTCAGGGAACCGCCGCGGGTGCGTTACTGGCGAACAGAGGCGCTCTGGAGCGTAGGGGTATTAGGAGCTTCGATGCGCATGAAGGCAGGAAGGGCGGCGAGAAGAGATCGCAGATGAGATGGTGGCAAGAATGAGGTCTCGCCTTGAAGTGGAGTGGATGACGCTGGGATGACGTGTCAGATTTTATACGACGCGTACACTGCAGGTAGAATCTAGAGCCCAGCTAGCTCACCGCACAAAAGGTGAAATATCTAAGAGCAACCTAAGGACGGAGTGAGATTGGCTGCCGCGTGATCTGAAAAGCAGGAATAAAAAGATATCATAACCCATGCCACATGGTCGAAGCCCGAATCGAACGGGCGTCGCCTGCAGGTATAGGACGTCTTTACAAGCCTATCTGATGCAGGTGCGGGCCTCTCCGCAATTGGTCCTCGATAGCGTGCAATTGAGCGTGAGTAAGTGGAGAACTTTACCCGGGAGAAAGAGACTGCGATTTCTGTGTGAATCATGAGGACCTACGATAATTTGAACAGTCGAGAGTGGACGCACACGAATGAACCATATTGGACTAGCGCGCTTGCGAAAGAAAAAGAGGAGGCGACAAGTTTATCCGGCCACCCAAATATAGCCCAATGCATATGTTCAGCAGGTGGGGGACTCCGCAATTGGACCTGTTAATCCTGCGATGCAACCTGGATAGATTCCTAATTTATAGGGCGGGAACTTTACCTGTGGTGATAGCTCGAATTTAATTCGATGAACGTTGGAAGGTGAGTGAAGGAAGCCACACGTACCGTAGAATAGAAACTTTGGGACTGTAATTGAATGGCTGACGGAGATACGGACTGCTGTCTTAGATTCCGCGCTGATCGAACAATTAATTATTCCGGCGACGACTTGAGAAAGAACCCACGTCCAAAGAATGATGGAGAGAACGGGTGAAGATGACTTCCGGGAGGCGAAGATAATGGATGAAGAAGGACGGGAAAAAGAAAGTATGCGGGCGCCAGCAAACGGTCCAAGCCCGAGTCGAACGGGCGTCGCCTGCATGTCCAGTAGTGCTTCTGCAATACAGGTGCAGGTGCGCGCCGCTCCGCAATTGGACCTCGAGACTGCTGAGTAGAACCTGAATAGATGAATAACTTTCAAGAGGGACGTGGACACGTTGATAAGGCGTGCATCTTTGCGCACCTGAAATCTTTGTTTTGTACAAGTACAAGCGGATGGCTAGTACTTGTGACTCCAGTAAGACTAGAGGGCACTGGTTCAATCCCGGAACTGAGTGTTAAGCCGTTAGATGCATTGCAAACTAGCATAACCAACAAAGGAAGACTGGGTTGCCGTCCGAGGTACTCTTCACGGGGGCTTAGGATACTGGCCTGGCTTCAAAACACACTAGCTAGCCATAGGACTCACCCGGCGCGGAGTATTGCACAAATGCTACAAGTTCGGTGTCAGTATGGATGTTAGGCAATCAAGGGACTTTGGAAGGAAACAGGAAAGACTAGCTATTGGCGCGAGGCTTTGAACCAAGGCCATGGAGATTATAAAGGGATTCATGAAATCGGAGCAAGTTGGCGCCAGGAAAACGACAATGAAGCGGGCGCGCGCCAGTATAAATTGGAGCGTGCTCAAACGGGTCAGCACCAGGCTACATGCTGAAAGCTGGCGCCAACCCTTGAAGTAAAATAAAGAGCAAGGATAATGCATACCTTGGCGCGAGGATCTCATAAAGGAAGAAAGAATCCGAAAGAGGAAATTTGCACAAGTCGGCGCCAAGAAGTGTATAAATAGTTGGCGCCGACTTCCCTCAAATTCCCTCGACGAACTCAAGGATGCCCTGAGTAATGAAGGCTTACCAGGAGGCTTGGCACTCGCTTAGAGAAGCTATTAGCCGATGGTATTAGCAAGAGACAATTATGAAGTAGAGGGGTTTAGCGAAGCTAGCCGACGAAGGATGGCCCTCTTTGGGTTGAATTCGCTAAGAGCTGGCCTCTCATTGGCCCAAGGAAGTACTGCGGCTTTCTAAGGCTCGCTAAGGAGATGGACTAACCGAGGGATTGAAGGAAATGACAAGGACGATATTAGGATGAGGCGTCTAAGCGACGCTAAAGAGAGAGGTGCACCCGAGACGGAGCCAGAGAGCTCGCTTATACCTTATTATTACTCATTCAACGTTTGTACATCTCGCTTAGTTCAGTAGTATAAAGCCGCATGTAAACCAGTAGTTAGGCAGTGAAAACTCCCCCGTTATTGGCACATAGCTCTTTTGAGCTCAGAGCTCAGCTCAGTCACTGGACAACTCGCCTAAGAGCCTGCACTATACTCATCTGCCGTCCCAGTCACTGAACCCTTGCAAGTTCACACTCGGCGCCAGCCCAGTCACTAGTCGGCGCCAGCTTCCTACCACACACTCATCCCGCGCCAAGTCCCTGAATTATTGCAAGAGTTCAAACTCGCGCCGGCCCAGTCACTGTGCTAGAAAGCCTTAGAGCCAACCTTCCACACTCAGCTCCTCTACCCCTCTTCGGTGTCCGCCCAGTCACTGGCCTAGGTGTCTAGTCGACTTTGTCTATCACACTCGGTTGCCTGCTCAGTCACTGAACTTACGTTCAAACCCGGCGCCAGCTCAGTCACTGTGACATTGCTCAGCCCGCTCTCTACACACTCGGTTCGCGCCAGTCACTGAACCTTGCAAGTTCAAACTCGCGCCAGCTCAGTCACTGTGTTAGCTTCTACGCCCTTCCCCACACTCATCGGCCCGATCCCTATTTATAAAGTCCAATCTCTGGCGCGAGCCACTTCACTCGTAGACTTAAAACATCTACCCCCCTGTCGATAAGACATCTGGAGACACTGGTTATATAAAGGAGGATCTTCCGCCCACTAAAGTACCTGTGGTCTTTCTACTGAAATTGAAGGGTCGATACGAGTACCCGTCTCCCCGAACTAAATAACGATAAGACTGTTGGAGTGATTGGTTGTTGGAGTTTAGTGTGATTAGAGTTAAGACTTATTGTCTTACTCTTTTGATATTAGATTTCACGGCTGCACGCCACTGCACCGTTTCAGCGTACTTCACTTGATTATTTCATTCACTGACTGCGATATGCTCGGAACTTTCCTTGGGTGAAGAATTGGCGGGGAATATGCTAGATGGGTTGATAAACAACCCAAGGTCGGCGAACACATCTTGATTATTAGCGGATAGCACAGGAAAGATTGAAGAATGCTAAGACTTTTACCGCGGCGAGCATAAAAAATACACGCAAATTCCGAGGAGGAAGCAGATTGTGCACCAGCGCTACTCGAACAGGATCTGCGATTAATATTGTGGTGTGACGCGATGCGGGTTCGACCTCTCAGTAATTGGACCTGACGAGTATGCAGATGACCGTCGGTTTATGAGTAAATTTAAGCAGATGCAAACACACCTGACGCCGGAAGTTCCATCCGGAGAATTGATATCCAATGAGGGACGATAGCTTCGCGAGACTCCGCAGATTCAGAGGAGGCGAAAGATGCACTAAAAGAACAAAACCTTCTAGCGCAGCGCATACCGTCGAGGGGAATCGAACCCCCGGCTTCCTCGAATGGATATGAGTTCCGGTAAATAGTTTTCGAGGATGACCTTCCGCTGGTCGACGACGGGTGGTTATTGAAGGAATAACGTCAGTTAAGTTGGAGTTCATTGACGCACAGGAGGGGAATGTGCGAGGTAGACGGACCGCCGGGAGGAGAGCCGAGCGACAGGAAACATGCCTGGATGTCGGCACGCAGAGCGACGCAGCGCCCGGGAGCGGTGAGCGGAGACGATCCAGAGGCGGGAATAAACGTGAGGAAGGCAACGAACGAAGGGCTCATTCAGCCTCGCTGCTGCACGACTCGCTGGAGTAACGCGCGGCCGCGAGAACACACTCGGAACGCGAGGCACTGCGTCATCGAACCTGAATACTGCACGAAGCTCTGGTTAGCCGTGAAATTGCAACGTGTCGGGAGGTCAAGTCCCGCAAGAAACGGCGGATTTCTGTTAAAGCAACACTTGCTTCGCGGGGTCATAGCTCAGAAATAGACTGGGGTCTGGCGTGAAAGAAGGGATATGTCCCTGAGATAACATGAACATGGGTCCATGAATGATGCCAAAAAGGGACCCTCCCGATATACGCACGGTCCAAGCCCGAATCGAACGGGTGTCGTCTGCAGGTATACAGATACACCTTTACAGGATGCAATGCAGATGCGGGCCACTCCGCAATTGGACCGTGCTACTCTGAAAATGAACTTAGTTGGACTCCTGCATTTTGAAACCCATTCAAGGCGGATAGAAGCGTGTTGTCGCGTCCCAGGTTCAGCGCTCATAAAAATACTCGTTATTAGGACCACGACTTCAGAAAGCAGTCATCATGTAGAAACTTGTGTACAAAATGCAGCCAACGGCACACAGCGTTGCCCCGGAGGCCGTCGGAGTCGCGGCGGCTGCGAGGGTAATGTCATCAGCCCAAGACTCTTCCACCTGGCACAGTCCAAGCCCGAATCAAACAGGCGTCTCCTGTATATACTGCCATAGAGGAGTCCGAGGAAAGTACCTTATTACCTAACTTAGCAACTTAACTTAACACTTCGGCTTGGCTGGGCCGAACTTAACTTAACTTAACTTAACTTTTCCCACGCTTGACGCCCTTAGCTTATTCAAACTCCGCCCACACGGCTACGACTCCCTTTCTTAAACCACTTGCTTGTGCCTGCTTGAGGCTTCAGACATCCCACATGAGCTGTTGTATGCATTATATACATACAATGCAGTCGGAAATCCGGCCATCCATAAACAACCCGTGATCACACGACTTGAGACTCAAGATGTGACCATTGGAGAAAGACAGAAGAAATTCAGACGCAAAGGTTATTATCCAATGGGTCCCTATGACCCCCTCAAACATTGGTGCTTATCCTCATCATCCTCTGACTGCATAGATGGGACGGCGGGGACTCCAACAAATTTATTCGGTCGGTCTATATTTGGTTGCATGTGTAAAGCATGGTTTGTGGAGGATAATATCTCTTTAAATTGAACTGCCACCCGAGATATAGAGTTTATGTCCACAAGAAATCTTGCCACCAAACTATTAAAGTTGGGAGCCAACCTCGGATAGTATCAGCCGTGCAAGGCACAACAAGAGCAACAATGTCCTTACAAGGCTATTGCACATGCCAGACAATCCTTGTATACTGAATTCATTTACTACAGTGCCAAATTGATCCCCCATCCCACATATCCATCCATTAACAGCCTCACAATCCACGGATGGACTCGGGGATGTCTCGCAGGCCGAACAAATTGGGTTCATGGACAACTCACGGGGCTACACTGATGCTTTGAACTTCAATTGTATCTGTGGGATACCAATTCAAGTCAAGGCTGTTCAATCTAAGTCCTTCAGACATTGAAGACCAAGGCACAAACCATATTGTCAACTTTCAAAGCCCATCCCGTAACCGTCTCGTCAATGTCCAGGTCTCCAACATGGTCCAGATATATTTCCACTGACCTTGCCCCCGGTGTGTGTTCACTTTGCTTACTGAAACTTACAGTAACTTGCTACTTAACTTGACTTAGCAGTACTTAAGCTAACTTGGCCCGCCAAGTTCCATCAGGGAAAGTAACTTATACGATCAGATGGACCTGATTGCATCAGGTACCGGCCAAGTTTGATTTGTCATCCAAGTAAACGGCCAAGTTTTCACTTCTCGTTCAAGGTGGCTGCCACCGGAGACCGCCATTAATCATTCTGATCTAGGTGGGTATTTTTACCCTACTTTCACGTTTCTTTGGCTGCGCGAGTTCTCGTACTCCACCACAATGTTTGAGGCTCTCTCGCACCCAACTCCATGTGGCGGGGATTTTTTTGGGTGATAAATCATCCGCATGTTTCCGCTTCAACGTTCCTGAAAACTTCGTGTGGATCGGTACCTAATGGACATCAGATTGGCAGGGTAGCGGTCCTCGGAAGGGCTTTCGTACCGGGGTTCTGGTAATATATTCCGGGGTGCTGTGGGTTTTGAAAGTGCATAGGGTGCTGAGGGTGTACGAAGGCTTTCTGTGCGTAATCCGATTGAGCTGATATCATTTGCTGCTCGTCCCCTCGCGCATCTTGGCGGGCAACGCGGGACAGCACATCTGTAAATACTTTCGAGGCCGTTTTTGGGGAGGTGGGTCGGGGGCGGGTCAAGTCCAAGGGAACAAGAACTGTGAAATGGTGTTCAGCATGGCGGAGCGTGTGAGTTACGTTGAAGTGGATCACAGTGAAAAAAAGTTGAAAAGATCTGCGCCATCACGTGGACGTTCGCTAAGCGTCGGCAGAACTCGAGAAACACTCGAATTTGACTGTAACTTGCCCGCGAGAGATGAAACATGCGAAATTGACTACAATACTGTGCTATATACTCTCTGTCTGTTGCCCATACCTGGCAGTGGATTGAATGTCTATATAAAACACTCGTAGGATACTTGGACCAACCGTACAGGACGCAGAACGGCGCAAAGGGTGGCTATTTGAAACACAGTTAGCATACCTTAATCCAACTTGAAGTTACTTAAATGCACTTAACTTGTACTTTCACTTTACTTAACTTGTGAAATCTGCCCTGCCCTAAGTTTGGCTAAGTTAACTTTGGCAGGCTAAGTTAGTTTACATAAGTAACTTAGTAAGGCATCTGCCATAGAGCAGTGGTTTTTGGCAAAGTGATGCGGGCGCAGGCCACTCCGCAATTGGACCTTCCGAGTGCTGAGAAAATTCTGCATAGATGGTTAATTTCTTGAGCGAAAGGAGTCCACGCACGGCTGGATATTAATTGGCAGTTGAATGCGACGAGGCTTGCCACGTCTGTAAGTTCCTGGAGTTCATGTAGTACGAGACGCTGAGACAGAAAAAAAAAAATCGTACGTTCCATGCCGACGAGGGGAATCGAGCCTCAGCTCACCATGGATGTAACGCTCGATGCCTAGATACTTCTTTGATGCCAAGACTGCTCCACTGGTCGACGACGGATTCCTAGCCCACGAAATCCCTGACTTAAGGCAGAACCAACGGCTGCGGTGAGGAACCGTGGACGATCCTCTAGTGGCACTGAATAGATCGGTAGCGGGCGGACTAACCTCTTGAGTGAGCCGAAAGTACGGAGGGTCTAAGGATGGACTGAGATTGAGTGCCGCCTTATCTGGAACGCAGTGATAAAGAATATTATATGCTGCAGGTGAGGGCATCTTCGCAGGGAGCCTGGGTATCCAACAGATAAGCCTCGCTCAAAGACATAGATTACCGTACACGGAAAACCTGTCGATTGGCTCTGGCACGGAAGACTATTGCTTACTACCAAACCCCGAGGTTCCTCGGAAGGAAAAAAAGATGGTGCTCGCGGGCGTTGAAAGAATTGACTGTCCCAAATCTGAACCAAACAGAGAAAATGGTCGTGAATCTGAGAAGGTAGAAGCTTGTGCTGCGACGAAGGGAAGGCCTACCTTCCTCCAGCGAGTGGCGACCCATTCGCGATGCGCAGCGTCGCAAGTTAGCAGAAGAAAAAAAAATGTTCTTATTCCCCGGGACGGTCCAAGCCCGAATCGAACGGGCGTCTCGTGCACGACAGTTGCTTAGTTCACAGGGCGGGCCACTCCGCAATTGGACCTTGCTGGTGTATAGCTGAACCTGATTAGCTGGGAAATTTACATCCGGTGGCGGGCCCCGACGGTTACAGAGGGAGCGCCGGCGGGACACTAATCAAAACCCCGTATACGGGGCTCGGAGAGTGCCAGTACAACCTGCAAAAGGCGGTGTGTCCGGGAGTGAATACATGGCCCCGCCGCCCATGAGTTAAAGCATAGAAAGGACTCGCACTACAGTTAATGACGTCCAAGACAGTATGGAACCGACCTTGTCCGTACATCGGCGTCATCCAAATTACCGGTGATGCAGGTGCGGGCGTGTCCGCAGTTGGACGTGCATAGTGTAGAAGACCGGATAACTGGAGGGGGAGAGTCGGATGCACAGGCGCGCAGAGCATGCGGATTTAATGCCATTTCGCCGTTGAATCCAGAGTTCCTGACAGACCAGACGACAGAAGACACGCAAAAAAAAAACACACTCCTCGCCAGACTCACCACCAGCCAGGATGGAACGGGCGTCTCCCACATGCCTGCTTCTGCACAAAACCCGAATAGGAGATGCACCCCCTCCGTAATTGGAGCTGGATAGTGCGGACGTGAGCCTCGTTAGCGTGGCCAAGTCAAGGAGGCGACGATGCACGCACGTACATGCGCATGTGAAGTCCTCGGGCGCCCAAAGAACGAAAGTGTAAGACCGCGAGGAACCTCGGGGAATTGCTGTTGCAATTGGATCAGGCCACAGATTTGACGAAGGGGACGCACCTGGCTGGCTATGAATGACTTGGGGCGCTCATTGATCTCAAGAATGTGAGCCAGAAAAAAAGACCTTGAAGAGAGAACAAGCCCGCATCGACCGGGCGCCTCCTGCGTATGAGCAAAGTACGGCATACGTGGTGTGGGCACTGCGTGATGGGACCTGAATAGCGGGGAGTGAAGCCTGAATAAATGGGAGCGCGCGGACCCACCTGGGGTGATAATCCTTATTGAATTTGTGC